GATCGCGTTGAGCTTTCGGTAGTCGACGCAGAAGCGTAGTCCACCGTTAGCCTTGATCGCGAACAGGATGGGCGCGGCCCACGGGGAATCGCTTGGTTCAATGAAGCCTTTCCGCAGGTTCTCGGTGATATATTTCCGAGCGGCTTCCAATTCCTCCAAAGAGAGCTTGTACAGCGGCGAATATCCCAGATCCTCCGGCCTGCCAGTGACATCGATCTTATGGTCGACTTGCGGGCGGTATGGGGGCATATCGTCGGATTCCGCCTTGCTGAACACGTCGAGGAAGTCATGGTACTCGCTCGGGATCGCGTTGACTGCTTTCTGACGCAGGTCGTGATCATCTCGGGGCATCGACTCTGCGAGCTTGTCCTCAATCATCCTGTCGATCTCGTGAAGAGTGACGCAGCCGGTGGGCAGGTTGCGCGCAATCTGCCTGAATGCAATGGCACCGATAACGGCCATATCGGGTGGGCGATCCTTGTACCAGCCGATGCTATCCCTACGTAGAGTGTACGGTCCGTATTTATCTGTGCCACGCTTGTAGTCGATCGCGGGTTCCTTTCGCCGAACGCGTGGTTTAGGAGGCTGCTCCTTTGGCGGGGGAGGAAGGCCTTGCAGCGCGCGCTGCATCTTCTGCTGTTCAGGGGGATCGAACCGAACGGTCTTGGGTATCGGGTCGGATCGCGATAGGAGGTGGGTAATCGGGGACGCAGATGACGTCGGCGGCCGCGGAACAGGCTGGCGGCTCGCCTGCGCTTCCAGCTGTGCGATTCGCTGCGCGACAGCTCGCCCATCGCGCCTTCGTTGGTCTTCCTTTTCCATCAATGCTTCGCGGCGCTGAATGTCTTCCATTATAGCAGGATCGGGGCGTCCGGTCGGGGGTGCGCCGAGCTCGATATCAGCCTTCTTCCACCATCCTGGATCAGGGAGCCATTCAGTAGGGAAGATCAGTCTCCGGCGTCGGCTGTCGGTAAGGATGTCGTGATAGTCAAGCCACTTGTCACCAACGATCACATCGTGCTTGGAATCAATTACCAGCAGCGGTTCGTCGCGGAGAGTGCGGTTCTGGATGGTAAAATGCCCGACGAGCACCACGTCGACCAATTGGCACGCGCCTTTGTTGTCAAACCCGCCCACGGGTCGGGGCGTGAAGTCGGTTCGAGTCTTCAATTTCAACTGCTTCAACAGTCGTTCTGCATAGGCAACACTCACAAAGAGGTAGCCATTGGCTCCCGTATCAACCAAAACGTCGGTGGTGGTTAACGAAACTCCATTATTCGCTATGGAACAAGAGGTGAGAAAGGGTCTTCCTCCCAGCAACTTGCTAACGAAATCCGGTCGAGCTTCTGTCACACCGACTGTTGATACCAACCCTGAGAGGGAGTCGAGACTACCCAGGGTATCTAGTTTTCCGAGTCGGAGGCGCTGTCAGGCAGCTCAACCACCTTCGCAAGCTTCTTCTTGTTGGAGGCGGGTGCTCGGGGAGTGGCAGGCTCCTCAGCAGGCTCCTTCGCCGCCCAACGGCTTTGCAGGTTCGCAATGCGGGACTCGCGCTGCGCTTTCCAGTCTCCAGCTGCGGCTCCGCCGCCTGTCTTCTGCGGGCATTCCCGGGACGTATGTCCCTTCTCGCGGCAGACGAAGCAGCGGCCTTCATCATAGAGCTTGCGCACCTCCTCGGGTGAGAGCTGGGGAGCCGGGCTCTTGGCTTTGGGAGCTGCAGGTCTGGGATCCGAGATCTTCGGGGTCTTCGCGGCGCGTGGCGCGCCATCGCGGCGCGGGGCATGGCCATTGCCTGTCTGGCGGTAGGAATGCGAGATCTCTGCGCCAAGTCGGACATACTGATCGAACGTAACAGCGGGATCGAGGTACGACGGTGCCAACGCTCTCTGGAGGGTGCCGGGAAGTCGGCGCTTGAACTCAGCCTTCCACTCAACCTTGCTCTTGCCACATTCACCAGCAAGTCGTACAAAGTCGTTTTTAAAAGCAGTGAAGCTGTCACCCGGCTTCATCTCTAGCTCGATGAAGTCTGTCAGGGACTTCTCGGATTGGAGCGGGTCGTTGTATTCCGACCAGAGGTGAGCCATCAGCTTCTCGGACGTGTTGATTACGTCAGGGTGGGTTTCGCGGAGATAGGGAGCGAGCTCGCGAGCTGCCTTCCCACCTACCCTCCCCTCGATGTACCCTTGTCTAGCAGCATCGTTCGAGAAGTGGTCGCCATTGGCGGCGAGCTTATTCTGGAGGTTGCGGTACCAGGTCTCAAAGGTCGTAGTATCTTTAGCCCCGTCGTTGAGGAAGATAGGCGGGTCGGGTTGCTTTGCGCTGCGCCCCTTGCTCCCGCCAGATGCGGTTTCAGTGCTGCGAATAGAATGGTGGGTAGCGACCGTTCCCTCGCGCGCTTGCATCATGAGATCGGCGATGATCTGGTTAAGGCCCACGACCTCTTCGGTTCGGCTGTTCAAGTCTGCGTCATGGGTCGTCTTCAGATTGTCGGCGATGATCGGGACCCAATCGTGGATGTACTTCAAGTTACGGTCCAGGTCTTTGGCGATAGTATGGAGCTCTTCGACTTGCTCCGCGTATGCTGCGGTCAACAGTCCGCGCATCTTGACTTCCTTGAATACTTCGTCGGGGAAACGGGCAGCGAGATCCGCGAATTCGGTGGCATTGACTGTGCCATTGATCACGCCCGCGAACATGGCATCCGGTTTCTTGGGGTCGTCGTCGACCATCCGGGTAAACGGCATCGCAGGAGCCTTGTCCTTGTACTTGCCAGCGAAGTGGTCGGCAAATGCAACAAGCTTCGCACGCAGGTCTTCCACAAGGCTCTCGCGCGTCTCAGTGTAACGCACGTCTGGGAGTTGTGTAGTGACATCGCGGGTGAACTTCTCAATCGTAGCCGGCTCGGCGTCTTCGTCATCTTCGGCCACGAGGGGCTCTGCCTGGTTCAGCGGCACGTCGTGGATTGCCGACGAGCGGCGGCGCAACGGGGTATCTTTCTTGAGATCGTGACGATTGATCTCTTCGATCACGAACCGTACTTCCTTCCGGGCGCGATCGTCAGCGGCTGACTCGCGTGCCATCTTGGCGGTCTTCGGTATCCAACCCGGTTGGTTCGGCTAAACGCAGGTGGATGGATTTGGTTTGTCGGGTCGATTGAAACAACGCTTTCAATCTTTGATCTTCGGTTCTTCGGTGGGATATTAATTATACCTTCCCAGGTAAGAGAGATTGGTCTCAGTTTGTGACGAGAAGCAGATATTCCATGGGGTCAGGCCACCAGTCAATACAACTATAATATCGAAACTGAGACAAAGAGAAAAAGAGAGGTGGTGGGATCGCTAGCGATCGTTTCGTGGGGAAGTAGGGCGAGGCGCTATGCGCGCTAACCCCGATTGAGCCACAGTGCCATCACAGGCAACCACCTCTCGTGACAGAAGATGAGTTACGATTTAGGAATTATATAAAGGTCGACTATAATCACTTACTAAGGCTAAAGGTTACGTTACGAATGACTGTAGCTTTACCTCCTGAAAATAGGAGGTCTGCCCTACCGGACAGCCCGTAGTATAGGAATGGTTTTAATAGCCGAGGAGGTTTAGGGGGTGAGTATTTTCAGGTTAAGGACATTTTGGAATTACGATAATAACAAGGGCGAGTATAATAATAAGGATGAAAAGAGGTAATAGTAGAGTACTTAGTTAAGTGGGAAGGGTGTAGGTACGATTATAATACTTGGGAGCCTGCTACGTATTTTAAGAGATATCCTGAGATTCTATAGCGGTTCCATCAGTAAGTATTATCTAAGGACTCCTCTATATGAGTATCGGGCCGAACTATAGGCGTAGCTTAGTTGACTATATTGTTCTTATAGTGTTTTGGGGATATATATAGTTATAGGATAGAGCGATACCCCTAGGGTAAGACCGATAATGAACTAGTATATTACAAGCTTATTTTTAACGATAATCGAGTAACTATAAGTATATCCGTTCTGAGCCGGGGCGAGGCCTAGTGGCCGAGCATCTTTAACATCCGTAAGGCTGGGAAGCTGAATTGCTGTGTAACCGGGGTATCGTCCCAATGCCAGCCCTGGTGTATAGTTTCGAGCTCCTCGTATGTTAGCTTACCCCTAGTTTCGATATAGTCTGCCTAGCTACCCATTTATTCTGGGTTATACTACTTGTCGAGATCTCATGTATACTAATATTATCTTCGCTATCATTTGGTGTAAATATGGGCTTTGGATTCTTATATATAATTAGTAATAAGGCATCTGTTACAAGCTATAGTAGGTGGTTGGTGGGCTCCCGAGAGGCTGAGAATACTTAGCAGAGCTTATACAAGTATTTAGGGTCTCTTTTATATTTGCTCTACAATGTACTCTATTATACCCGAAACACTCCTATAGTTTCCTTTTTATACAGTAACAGTATCTGTCCAGCCAGTTATCTACTTCCTTAGTTCCCTTCGTCTAGCTTTCGCTGATTTGCTATGTTTTCTAGTTTGTTTATAGCATATATTTGGCAAGTTAGGGGCTGGGCTGCCGCCGCTGTTTCCAGATAAACCCAACGACGACTACGCCTACGTATAAACAACTATAGGCATTAGAGTATTCGGGATCCTGTCTACTCATTCTTCGGTAGTTGGGTCGGTGATGACCCAGCAATCCTGGATATAGGACCCAACCGTTTTTTTAGTAGCCCCTAATACCGCTTATTCTTCGGTAGTCGGGTCGGCGACGACCCAGCGATCCCGGATGCAGGACCCAACCGTTTTTTTAGTGGCCCCTGATACAAAAACGGCGGCCCCTGTGCCGGACATTGCCGCTCCGACCTCTAGGATCCTTAAATTAGACCTGCTAGGGCTACGCCCCATTTGCAACGATTGGTCGTAGCCCTAGTGCCCCCGCAAATTCACCATCAACCCCTTATGAGATTGCAATAGACCCTTTCGCTGAATTTTCGTCCTTCCAGACGTAGGCACGAACATATTCCGCTATATTTGACCTCCTTAGGTTACTCGAGAAGCTGAACTCCCCCTACCGGGGCTGGGTCAAAAGGGGGATCCCAAACTCTGATTTAGAGACCATTAGCCAGCACATATACCAGATGGCTATGATTCTGATAGTATATCCTGGCTGGGTAAGACGAGATATTATCTCAAGAGCTATTGTATCTCTGACTTACAGGCTAATCAGGAAAATGTTGATGACTGGCTAGCGGCTGTTGAGATGGCTATTGTCTATAACGCTCCTGAAGTAATTTCCGGAGATGTGATACCATCGGATAACATTAGCCGAGGTAATTCGTTTTGCAAGGGGGATCTTTTTATATTATTAACTGAAATAGAAAGGAAGCAGATTTGTAAAGAACTTAGCTTGGACTACCTTATCTGTCTTTCGAGAGAGTCTAGGAATGATATATTTGCTAGTTGTATTAGTAGACTCTGGAAAGAATATAAGGAGGCTGCTAGTTATATCTCTTAGATCGTTTATTAAGTCGATAAGTTTTAAGCCCTTTCTTAGGTGTATACTTACTCCTACTAGTATCCCGAACTGTTATTTTAGCTTAATAACTTTAAAAGTTATCGGGGGTATATTACCGATAACTGGCTTGGTGGAAAAGCAGATGATATTCTTTGTATTTGGGAAGCAAATAACTTGTATAAAATCTCAGATACTATCTTTATATTTGTTATAGACGGGCCTAGCGTTGGGAAAGGAGCCCAATGCGAACTAGCTATATAGAAGTTTAGCTTTAGATATATGTCTGTTAGAGAGTTTCTACGCTATGAAAGAGGTGTGCCCGGTTCTCTATATAGGGACTTTATTAAGAAAAGCTTTTGCGAAAGTGTACCGGTACTACCAATATTGGTTATAAAACTTCTTAGTAGAGAGCTTTAAGGGCTTGGTACTGATGGAAAAAGTATATATAGAATTATTGTCGATGGGTTTCCGTTTAGTGAAGATTAGCTTAGAGTATTTGAAGAAGAGGTATATATATATAGCAGTTTCAAGTATATGTTTAATAGGATATTTAGGTATCGCTTTAGTATATAACTATTGTTATAGAGTATCTGCTTGAAGTTATACTTTAGTGGTTAACTAAGTAGGCGATGTTATTAGACCGGGAGGATGATGCTAGAGATAGAGCTAAGAAAAGGATTGATATTTTTATATAGTCGGATATCTAAGGCTTGCTGGCTCAACTCTCTAAGAACCTGCTCTAGAAGGTAAATACATTATAGGGCTCCCTTAAGAGGCTATAGTATACTAATAACCTTTACTATAGATTGATTGTGTTGGTTCGATTGCTGAGGTTTAGGTGGTGTTCCAGAGCTTTATAGCAATGGAAATAGATGTATTTAAAACTTGGGAGCTCGATTGAGTACATCTATAGTTAGGGTGATGTCCTACTACTGAAGAGAGAAAAATCATTAATTGAAAATATATGGGTGATCCCTACACCCTAGCCACCTACCACTGTAAGCTCTGTGTAATAACCGTAGGATCGTAGCTGTTGGTTATATGTGTAAAGAGTGAGATTGTACTAGCTATTAAGGAACAAGGAGAGTTGCGGTAGAGCCTTATAGCCTTGGTTATCTAGCGCTAACCTTGTAAGTATACTGTTAAGGCTACTCTCATTAACCTTATCGTAGAAAATGGCTCTTTCACCTTTAACTATATCTAGTTAGTAATAAACTGAAATCTCTCTAGTAGCTTCTCACCTCGTATCGCAGTCCGGTACTGATTTTATATATTCGCTAGATAATTTAAGATTTCTGCGATAAGAAGCTTCCTAATATAAAGATTCCTATTAATGAGTATCTGTAGCTGCTTAGGATAACGCTATTTATACCGCTATAAACGTTAGCAATATAAAAGCCTATCCGTTTAGCACTCGACCTACCTCCTTAACGTACTTTATCTAGTATACTAGTCTCTATATATCCCTCTCTATGGTGTTTAAGAAGGTAAGTGTAGCGTAGAAGGTGTATTCTTTTTGGGCGAGATTAGGGGATGTTATAGCAGTCCAGAGCATTTGAAAGAGTCGCTGCTCCTAGTTATACACATATAGTTCTAGCATCCGATCAAGCTAATGTTATAAGATTCGCAGAGCCGGAATCGTACTGAAAAAAGGGCTGTCTCGAGACTTGATGGGTATTCCAATATTAGTTTGCCAACCCTTTACAAGAAGTCGGTTTGTAGCCTAGAGTTTGAGAGTATAGGTTAGTAGAGGCGACTGCCTCTATTCCTTCGGTAACTGTAGAGCAATAGCTCTTAGAATACTGTTACTATCCGCTTCTTCGATATATAGCTTAACCGAACTGGCGATATATTTGTTAAATTTCTTGGACCTAGGCTCCTATACTGGGTCCAAGCCAAGTGCTGGTATACTTACTAATTCCTAGCCTGTTTTGCTCTTAGTCTAAACAGTTGTTTAGTTATTAAATTTAGCTTCGAACAGGTAGTAGTAAACGTTAAGAGAAGTTCCCTTAGTAAAGTAGAAGACTTTAATAAAGAACGAATTACCCTTCTATTAACTAACCTATTAGGAATAAGACCGATAGTCTATATTCGCCCCTACCGAGTTATTAGAGAATTCCTACCTTAAATTTATAGATATTTATACTTCTTAAAGATAGGCTCCTTAGAAAAAAGGAATCTGATATAGAATACCCGCGATACTATATACCGGTGACAGTTATTATTGCCTATAACCGTCTCGCACTAACAAGGTATTAATATAATAAAAATTCTCGATATATATCTCAGTCCGTAATACCTTTAAGTAATAAGAGATATAAAGCATATATCGTAAGTTTTTATTAGTATAGCGAAGGGTAATATCTCGTATCCCGTCATATATCGGTATACTATCCTAAATAGAGTGGGTATAAGATACCTCTATAATTCCGGTATAATAAAGATCGGTAAAAGCCTCCTTATCTAGAGTAATACCAGGTATCTACGCTTCGACGATAGGATAAGTGAATTTAATAAGTAAGGTATTATACTGAGTATTATAAGAGATATCGTGCAGACTCGGGGTATCCCACAAGGCTAATTTAGCTGAGTCGGGAAAAGGTAAGGTGGCGGCATTCTGGATCCAGGGTTCGAGAGTGGTGGCAGCGAGGCAAGCCCTGGCCGCGATAAATCCGTTTTCAGCGATAGCGGAGGGATGAGCTGAACGCGAATCGTCTCTATAACCATCTTCGTCGTTACCGGAGGACAGGACCCATCGTATCTCGGTTATGTTGCAAGCTTCTGTTGAGGAAATTTGGGAAAAAGGCAGCGGGGTCGCGAGTGCCCCGGAATCACTTCACTAGGCGCCCCGCTCCAGGGACCACCTCGTGACGTACTCCACTCTAGGGATTCCCTCGCGACGTGCCCTACTCCAGGGATCAACTCCCGATATGCCCCACTCCAGGGACCAGCTCGCAAGTGCCCCACTCCAGGGATAACCTCCCGATACGCCCTACTCCAGGAATTACCTCGCGACGCGTTGTATTAACTAACTGTAAATACCGGAGTATATATATCCGGTTCAGCCCAGGCTCCCGAAACAACTGAAGTTCTACGGCCGGTACATTTACAGATAAGGGAAAGTAGATTACCAAGCCGATTCATTCAGGGTATAAAGACAGTGAATCATGCACGTTGGTCCGCAATCACATCTATAGGAGAATATATAGTTGATAACGAAATGTTAACCGGCGAGACGTACCTGCATATGCGTCTAGCCTTTTTGATTGCTAGGTTGTGTTTATGGTTAGCAGTCTTATTCCATGATTGGCCATAAAGGAAACGTGGAGGGAAGGTGTGCAAAGAGAGTAACAGACGAGAATTCTGGTTCAGGAGCACTCTTTTCACACTTGTTAGTTGTATAATCAGCTCAGATCGGTCGCCGGGTATAAGAATACTCGATACGCAGTATCCTCCGCTGCGAGCTGAATGTAAGGAATTCGTGGCAAAGCAGGCACGGAGTGGAAGCTACTAGAAAGGGAAAGTTCCATCATGTTCGAGTTCAACCTTTGAAGGCAGAACATGTGACGAACCTGTCTCTGGACCCGTCCTGTTAGGGTTCAGTATCGGTCGAAGGTATTCTCTCAAGGGTGCTTAGGTTCGGTGCAGCCAAAGGGTGCACAACAAAGACTTGTCTCAACAGTAGGCTCTCGAGCTTGTAGCGAACTGTAGTTGTGATTGCTAACTGGAGAACTCCCAGAGCTCTCCAGAACGAGTGACTATATACCTATCTAATTCTTGGGTGCTCAGTGTGCTCAGTGTGCTCAGTGTGCTCTCCGGACACTGAGCCTACTGAGCGGACTGAGCTCCCTGAGTACCTTCCTCGTGTCCTGATTGGTGGCGCGGTCCAAGTGCTCAGTGTGCTCAGTACACTTGGCAAGTGCTTGGCGACTGAGCTCACTGATCACCCCCTTTCTTCTTTAATTGGTCCGTCTACCGTAACCAGCTCGGGGCGTCCCGCGCCCCGAGGTCGGCATACTCGTGACAGAACATCGCTTTTCTATACAACTTCGGGAGTTCCAAGCATTTGGATCTTCACGTCCTTCTTTGTTTCATCTGTCTACTTTCCTCCCTATGGCTGAGTGAAGTACATCCTCTACGTAGTGACCTAAACTTCAAGCGGCCAAGTTCTTTCCGGGTTGAGGAAACGTGTCGGAGAATTGTACGCTTGTAAGACTAACTGGCCCGCAGCCGCAACCAGAGTTTCACACTAGCTGTGTCCTATGCACTTAGTTGGAAATGTAGCCCTAGTTGAGTCGTTCAAGCCTGTTTCTCTGTGCCCTGCTTCGGCCGCGCTGCTCTTTGGACTGGCAACACCGGGAGAGGTGTCGACGTTGGTTAGGTCAATAACAGCAGCTCCATTGGGTATTTCGCTGTGGAAACAATGAAAGGCAAGTGTACGACCACGTTCTTAGGATCGAGGGCCATATGACCTCGCGGCCCAAACTATCCCTCCCTGTCCCCGAACCCTTCCCGGAAAATACGATAGGTTCCGGTCAACCTACCAACGATGCTCTCATGGAGGCGGAGTTGCCGCCGCCGAACTTCCTGCGGAGCTCCCTGTTGCCGCCGCCGAACTCTATGTTACCGCCGCGGAGCTACCTATTGCCGTCCCTGTAGGGGGATCAACAATGGTTGAATATCCCGGCGACGGCCCCTGGGATACGATGAGACACAACTATATCTAAAATGGTAGGAAACTTCGGCGAGTAGACAAGCCAGGTTATCGGGATATCGAGGGAGGGATATGTATTATAAAGTAAGCTAATTAGAAAAGTATTATCCTTGCGACCAGCCTTATCCACACTGCCGGCCTCGTCCCTACCCGTCGCCGGCCTCATCCCTACTAGCAGCCTCATTCCTGCCGCCGGCCTCCAGCTATATTACCGCTGCCGGCCTCATTCCCGCCGACGGCCGGTTTTACTTTATTATACGAACAGAGAGCGTTAACGAAGGGTGGAACAACTCGATCCCTCTCACCAGTACCCGTCTACAACCTGACTACTCCGTTGGGTTTAAACGAGATGTATTTACTGAAGACCAGCTCGCTAAGCTGTTACTATTCATTGGCGACTTCATCGCCGGGGACTAGTCTCTCTTTATAGCTACGTATTATATGTACTTCCCGTTCCTGACCTGCGAGGTGGAGTGCGGCGCTGCGGCGCTCGATATCGTAGACCGGCAGAACGTCTATAGTATGACCCTTGCGGTGTGGGGTATCGTCGAGCTCTTCTATACTGTTAAGTGCGAGGATGAGGTTAACCGGAAGATCCTTGCCTTCTCCGTCTTGTATGACTACTAATTAGTACGGATCTACAGCTACTACCTAGTAATAACTAGGAAAGATATCAAGTACTACTATTATCCAATCCGAAAATTCAACTTTACCGAGTTGGACAGCAAGGATAAATGGACAGTATATCAATTTACTAAGAACGTCTACGATATATAGATGCCCAAGCATTTCGAGAACATCTGTTCTGCCATCAATTAGCTGCCGTCGGAGTTGAACTTTGATGTCCTACCGCTTTCTGAGGCGACTGGGCTCTCCCAGGATTTGGGGAACTTAATGTAGTTAGATGCCAGCTGCGCTTCTGTGGCTGACGAGCGGGGCAGCTAGTCGAGCAATGCCGAGCAGTAAGCCGTTACTCCGAGTACCTTATTTAGTGAGCCGAAGAGGAGGAAATGATAAGGCCTAGAAAGGCCGTAAGGTGTTGGCGGGTGGATAGCATAGGATTCAATTAACCGTTATCTTGATCGTATTTACAATATAAAAAACCGTACTAGCAGTGTTATCCTTATCTTGGATGTGGGGTAGCTTTTTCGGATTGGCTGAGGGTTGCGGGCTGACTGTAGTGTACCCTCGCGAGAGCGGGTCGAAAGGCGGGTTATAGGCTTGGAACCGACCCTAGTGTAAGAAACGAAGATTGCGCGGCGGTGGCCAGCTCAACCGCTGCTGTGTGGTGTAAACGCCTGGACGTCTTGGTATATGCGTGCGGATTGCGTAATACTTTCTAATTTTTATCGAAGATATCTTAGCAAGATTTAGCAGGTTAAACCCAAAAATTCGAGCGTATTCAGCGCGCGCACACACCAAGACGTCCAGGCGTTTACACCACACAGTGACCTTTAGCGGTATCACTTTTCCTAGTTCAATATACTGCAGCCGATTCTCATACCCTACACTTGCGGGGTAGCGGCTTGTTCAACCGGTAAAGGCTCCCCAATCAGATTGATTTTTGCAGCAGCATTAAATATAGCTGAATCTACAGCCCTCTTATTTCGAACCTCACTAGCCAGTTACCTACCCTAGATAAATAGAGGAGATGGAATACATCTTATCATGCTCTTGCACCTTATTCAAGAGTTGTAGGCTACACACTGTATCGACAGCATACAACTGTAACCTACTTATTTACACAATCGTTATTGGCCTAAGTTTATAAAGTTAACGGAGGTACTTATCCAAGCTACTGTAGGTTGAAGGCTCCGAGTGCCCTCTTTAGTATAAAGAGTATACGTTAAGCACCTCTATACCTATAAGGTATAAGCAATCTATTGTATTTCGATCTAATTTTCCGCAATATCTATACCATTTATACCTACAAGTTGGTAGCCTCTCATCATAGCCATTACCGTCGCGGATTACTCTACCGCTAACTTCAACTCGCTGCTAGAATATAGTAATATCCTCCCAATTTTCGATAGTCTTAAAGGTGATTATCTCGCTAACGGCGCTATAAAGGATCTCTTCCGCCGCTACAACGTTTAAGATACTATCGGCCTTGCCCTACTATACAAATACTTCGATCTCTGCGATAGGGAGCGTATCACCGATATCAGAGGTATATCCAATCTTATTACCTTCGAGCTAGGAGAGGTATCTACCTAGAGATTCAGCCCTAAGTACTGCCAGCTCGTCCCTCTCAAGTACTCAATTATACAAAGCAAGATTGATTAGCAAACCTTGTCTATACAAGCGTTTCTAACCAAGTTCTCCGAAATAATAGTCTCTATAAAGGCTGATGGAATTCTCGGCCTCTGCTCCTATCCTAGAGATTGGTATCTAGGGCAAGTCAAGTTTACTGTTAGTTATAGTAACGTTAACTTAACCCTATAAGAGGTAAGCTATCGTACTTCCCCTCCTATTATATCCAAGCGCTAAACATATATCAAAGGCCAGCCTCCTCCCTTCCGCCGGCACCTACAAGGCTGCCTGGTTCTATACCAACAACTTCATCAAGCGCGGCTGTAGGTATAACTATTTTAAAACCTAAAAATACATCTACTCTTATAGGTATACTGTATTATCCTAACTTGAGACAGAGGTAGGATAGTTGATTGATAGGCTCATATTATATCAACCTCAAGTGATAGTTTAATATCGGTGATTTTCTTTACTACCTACTCCTACCACTTTACGCTATACAATTGCAGGCGCCTAAGAACACAATGCTATAGCCATATAGATATCGATGCGGCTCGCTATAGTAAGCTACCAATACCTGCTAGGTTCGTCCTTACGAGAAAGTATGCGATAATAATCTAGCTCGATGCCGCCCTCCCAGTCAGCCCTTATCTTCACGTATTCGAGGTAGAAGGCTCGGTCTTGCTTCATTTGCCGGCTATTGTAAATAGAGAAGCCTTAGGCTCCCTCTCCAGGCTTATAGGTGAGAAACCGCAGGTATACGGCAGCATATTGGAGAGGCACTATTTCCGCCCAGCCTAAGTTAATAATACTATAACTTATATTAGCTAGGGTGTCTCTAGTAGGTAGGGATTTCCGATATACCTCTGAATAGTAAGCGGAGCATCACCCACTATAATATTGTCCCCGGAGATATCGCTATGAACAAGCATATACATGGTATTGTTAAGGTCTAGCATCCAATATTTTGGTATCAGCTGCTTCTAATCTTCATACTTAGCAACAGTACCCCTGCAAAGCTCGTTTAACTTCGTATAAGCGATCTTGCGGTCAATCTTATATATGATCCATTTAAGCACCATCTCCCCTAATCTTTGTTAGCTTAAATTTAGGAAAGCTTATTAAGAAGTAACAATACTAAGCTGTTATATACGGAGCAGATCGAGACTAGTGTTAGCAACCACCCGTATAACAGACCTGCGATCGTCTATAACTGGATAGGTATTAGACTACCTTAGGGGGCTGCTATCCGCCTAACCCAGAGCTAGATATAGTGCTTTAATTAAGTTTTCTATTGTAAGATTATAGGAAATAAGTGGCTGGAAGAGATCGATTCGGGTAGTATCGATGTAGCGACGGACTTCAGCCTCGCGTCTAAGGATAAGGGCGGTATAGCAGCCAGTCCGATTATATGGAATGCGGATATAGAGGCGCCTTGACTTTTCCTCATCCTCTAAAGTATAGATTTTATACTTATTGCTATGGAAGGGGGCTCTATTTGTATTAAGAATAAAATGGTAAGGTAATCCAATCAGATTCTCGACAAGAGTACAAATAGCCGTCAGGTTGAGGCCCTCTATATTGGTATCTGGCTAGTCATTTGCAAGGGCGAGGCCGCCCGTGTATTTTGTAAGGATAATTGCTGATAAGTAACCGTTAAGCGAACGTTGAGATATTGTAAAACTATCTTTGGAGTTTGTAGAGGGGAGTCCGAGAGCCTAAGGTAGGTGGGCAGTTACGAGAAAGGAAGCTACTTCCCGCTCCCTACTCCCCGCCTGTATTCCAGGGCCCACTTCGCCGTTATAGCCCCGCCGGATCCATCCTATACGCATATTGCATCTTCAACCTATGTGAGAGGATAAGGACTAAGTATCCTTCGATCTGCGACTTAAACCAGCAAATGGGAGCTAAAAGTGATAGTGGGGGGCTAGAAATGGCAATCTGAGGACTGAAAACAGCAGGGTATAAAAATAACAGCTTAAGGAGCTGAAAACGGGTCTACGGATAGAGCAAGCTTGTCTCTCTAAGGCACCCCTACAGCTAAATAATGGCTTTGGCAGTAGCTGGGTTTATTATTTATAATAAGACGAGAGCAGGGTCGTAAGGTGGCAATCATTACACGCTAAATTTATTCTAGAATCCTATCTATCTATCTGCTAACTGCCGGCCTTTCCTCCTCTTTGCCACCCTACTGAATAAGGTGTCCGGGGTAACTGCTTGCTCAACGGTACTCGACTGGCTATCCCGCTTGCTAGTAGAAGCGGAGTAGGTGCCCGACTATATCAGGTTTCCTAAATCCTGGGAAAGCCTAGTTACCTTAGAAAGTAGTAGGACGTTAAAGTCCAAATCTAACAGTAACTGATTAATCGCAGAGTAGATGTTCTCGAAGTAAGCAGGTATCCATCTATTATAGATATTTTTCGTAAACTAGTATGCTGTCCACTTGTCCTCACCGTCCAACTCTGTGAAGTCAAAAGTACGAATCGGGTGCCGGTAGTAGTTAGGCTGTGGACGGGTGCCGGTAAGGGGGATCGAGTTGTTCCACCTTTTATTGACACTCTCTGTCAGAATTTCGAGGGGTTTTGTACCGAATGTTGCAAGACTTTTAGTGGAAGGAACAATGAGCCGACTAATATCTTGAATAACTTGTACCTCATTTTTGTTATATATCTTCTGGTAGGATATTTCAAAGACATTATCGCGGAAGAGTATATTGCTAGGAACAGGCAGCGTTTTCTCTAGGAGTGACCGATAAAGGGCCTAGCTAGTGCTGGCTAAACCCGATAGAGCTTTGGTTATATAGCTGCCTTCGAGCTCTAGTAGAGTCTTATAACGCTAGTTATAATATAGTGTTGTCACGGAACGACCTGAGGGGCGGCCCGGGGCGGCCACAGCCGAAGGCGCAGGACGCCGACAGCCAATCGCTAAAAGAACCAATAGGAACGGTTATCACCGACTGTCAGTGATAATGAAAGATTATCACCAGTTGTCAGTGACAACGGAGGATTATCACCATGAGGACGGTGATACTAGATAGTATATAGTCACTCGTTCTGGAGAGCTCTGGGAGTTCTCCAGTTAGCAATCACAACTACAGTTCGCTACAAGCTCGAGAGCCTACTGTTGAGACAAGTCTTTGTTGTGCACCCTTTGGCTGCACCGAACCTAAGCACCCTTGAGAGAATACCTTCGACCGATACTGAACCCTAACAGGACGGGTCCAGAGACAGGTTCGTCACACGTTGCTAACTCCCTTTGATCTGTTACAGTTCAGGATTGAAGGTATCACGACGCCATGTCCAACCCGGCCGGAAGATCGGGCGCCGCCCCTGACTCTGACGACGACGAGATCGACAACAATGAACTCAAGCAGGAGCTCGAGGGAGTGAAGACTCTACTTCAGAAGCTCAAGGAGCAGACCGAGGGCTTCGCCCACTCCGACAAGGTCGAAGCTGCCTATGTCGCCCTGTCCAACAAGGTCGATGCCTTAAAGCTCAAGGACGGCACGTCGCCGTCAGAGAAGCGGCACCTCCGCATCGCCAAACCACCCAAGTTCGACGGCACCAAGCGGGAGGAACTGCAGGGTTTCTTGACACAGCTGCGGTCCTACTTCCAATTCAACCAATTCGACGACGCAGCTGACAAGGTCCTTTTCGCGGCAACGTACCTGGAAGGAAGGGCCCTCGAGTGGTTCGAACCCACCCAACGAGACCACTTGGAGAACGCCGAGGACGAACGCCAGAAGGAGACCATTGAAGTCT